TTAAGGAGTTTAGACTATAACCCAAATGTGCCGCCTCCCCCTGCGGACACTAGGATCTTCAGGGCCAGCGCTTGCTTGTCGTAGGCCTCAGACAAGTTTAGGTTTTTAGGGTTCAAGGGTTTAGGGTGTGGAATTTTTCTGGTTTGGGATTTTAAGGTTCAGGGATTTTGGGGCTTAGCGTTGTAGTAAGGGTTTATTGTTTCGAGCTTTCGGGTTTCGGGATCAGGGATTTGGGTGCAGGATTTAGGGCTTCGCTGTAGGATTCAGGTGTTTAGCATGGTTTGGATTTTGGGCTTTGGGTTCAGTGTCTAAACTTTGGAGTTCACAACCCTATTCCCCAAACCCTAATCTCTCAACTCTCAACCACAAACCCAAAACGGCCATCCCTAAACCCGAGGCATCTCAATGTGGAGACACGCCCCTGCCCCACAACCCAAGAGTCCTACCTGGAGCGCCAAATGAACCAACAGAGTAGGCTACTACACCCTGAAAAAATAAAGCCGTTACCCCATATCATAATTCACGTACGCGCGATCAAGGTACCCCTTCACCTTGAAAAAAGGTGATCGACCCTAAATCCTAAACCGTGACTTTGCAAAGATGAGAAATTGCATGCCCCAAGGCACAAGTCAATGAGATGTAATGTACTCCCTTTCCCCGGCATTTAGGATCTAGGGGGGTAAGGGCTTAAGGTAAAAAAACACTCTCCCAAAAAGATGTTATCTAGAAAATTGTCAGGGAGTGGAAATGGCAATGAAAACTACCACCCCGCCCACCACACTTTTTATAGACATCCCACTATTCTATAGTGGGAGGCTTATGTCCCTGCATCCCTAATCTCGACGTCCAAAATACCCTATCCTCTGCCGTTCCATGCAGGCGAGCATTTGGAGCTGTGATTCTCATCGCACCTTCGGCTTAGTGGTGGACCCCTCTGAACTGTATCCCTAAACCCTATGCTCCCCAAACCCCTGAAAGCCACATTTCAGCCCTGAACCCTAAACCCTTGTTGACTGTTACTTGGAGCTTGAGGACTACGACAAGCCAACTTACCTACTTCCTACCTGGACCGCAGAAGTAAGTAAACATGTGGACCGGAGAAACCCAACAAATGGCCCAACAAGATCCCAAACAAGCCATGATATCCCAAATTCCCTACACCCTCAACCCCCAGACCCCCTCAACCCTAAACACTGAACGCGGCTTAGGCCTCAGGGGTGGAAATGTGCACAAACGCAAACACCCAAACCGAACTCAAACTCTCCACACTGCGAACTCCCGAAAACAGTAATGCTAACCAGAAGCTGTGCTGCATCGCATGAGGCATAACTGCGCACACAGCGCGATGTTTTTCAGACTTGTAGGGCTCACGAGATTCAGGTTTTTTGGGTTCAAGGGTGGTCGGGTCTGCGAGGGAGCCAGTTTCTTCTTTATTTTCTTGGTTTGGTTTTGGTGCTTGGAAAGGCTGTTGGGCAATTTTTCATTTTTCTATTTGTATTTTTGGGTTTTGGTGCTTGGAAAAGTTGTTCGGGCATGCTCTCCGCAGAAGGCTTGAAGCTTAGAATTACGGGGTCCTGATCGGAATTTCAGGAACATTGGAGGCAGGCTCCTACCAACGCGATGATTGGACGAGGCTTCTACGCGAGTTGCGATTGCCATTGAGTGTCAGCTTGCACGGCTTAGAAAAAACCAGGGAGGTCGGGGGGGGGAAGCTCCCCTTCTTGCAAACATTATGATTTGATGACATGCTGCCTTCGTGAACTTTTGAGAGACACTCTTACTGGAGACCTGCCAACACGATTATGCGACGAGTCTCTTTTGAAGTTAACCTGCACGGCTGAAATAAAAGGGGGGGTTGGGGGCAGCCCCCCGATTTGCAAACAGAATGATTGCATGGCACCCTGGCTTCGTGCACTCTTGAAAGACACTCTCACAGTGGACCTGCTGCCAACACGGTGATGGGACTAGGCTGTTATGCGAGTGCGTAATAAACTGCGGGGCCGGCTGGCCATCTTGGAGAGTCGGATCTCTTTTGACGTCAGCTTGCCAGGCAAAGCACCAAAAACCGGGGGATTGAGGGGGGCACGGCCCTCCCCAATTTGCTGATGACATGCTGCCCAGGTGAATGTTCGGAACTTTTCAAGGCAAACGCCTGCCAACCCAATGATGGGACGAGTCTCTTTTGAGATCAGCTGGCGTGGCTTAAGAAAAAAACGGAGTTGGGGGGAGGGGCTATATCGTCCTTTGTTTCTTTCTTTCCTTCTCTCTCGTTATTTAAACTCATCTGAGTCCTGCATCAACTGCCATGGAGAGTTCTGCCTCAGGCCTGGCCGAGTATAGCTGAGCAACAGGACTGTTCAGAACTCCTCAAATTTGTACTTGACAGGCGCCGTTTCCCCGCCCTGCATGGTGCATGGGAGGCTCGCACCCAGATCATTGCTGAAAGCGGCCCACACACAAGAGCAGCTGATAGTTTGCATAATGTCATTGCACTCACCAGTCATCCCATAGACAACACCGTACAGGATTGTGTCGATGCGTGACACCATCAACCAGCTCTGCATGCCATTACGGAGAGGCCAAGCCAGGTATGCTGATCTGGAGGCGGGCAAAATCACCCAAACTGTTGCGTGTCGGCCTGATTCTACACTTTCTATTCCATGCTTTACTGAAGGATTGACGGACTTATCGCTGGCATCTTCCATGCTGGGTACAATCCCCAGAGTGATCACTACCGTGCATTCGCAGTACACCATGATCCACATCCTCAGGTCAATCAAAATGCCAGTGGTCATTCGGCCCCACCTGGGAGCTCCGATGTGAGCACATTCTGGTGTTTTGATGAAGGGGTATCTGCAGTGCGTTGCAACCCTCAAACTCATCAGGAAATTAGAAGAACTGTTATGTGACGTGCTATCAAGCTGCGTAGTCAATGAGCGCACTGCCTGGGTGTTCGCACCGGGTGCGCGTGCATTCGGCCCGCATGGTGTCGCTGCTGTGTGTTTCCAGCTGTTTTGCCTGCATGCCTCAAGGGGCGAGGCATCGGATCCGTACAGGCAAAAACCTGTTGTAGCCGCGCAAGGGACAGTACTTGTTCTGCGTTTCGAAAGTCGAAAAACTCTCTCATTATTTTTCTATCTTTCTCTTTCTTTGTCTGCTTTTTTCATTTGCTGTCTGTCTTTCTTTCTTTCTTTGTGTCCTTCTTTCCTTCTTTCTTTATGCCTTCCTCTGGTTCCTTACTTCCTTCCCTTTTCTTTTCTTGATTTCTGGCTTTGCTCTCTATATTTATCTCTTTCTTTCTTCGTTCCTCCCATTGTCCTCTCCTTCTTTGTTTCTTTGTCTCTTTCTTTCTTTATGACTTTTTCTTGTTCTTTCCTTTTCCTTTTGTGTCCCTCTTGTTACTTCCTTCCTTCCTTTCTTTTGTTCTTTCTATTGTTGTTTCCTGTCTGTCTTCTCTTTCTTTCTCTTGTTCTTTCCGTTCTTTCTTCTGTTTCTATGTTGCTCTTGTTCTTTCCTTTCTTTCATATCTTTCTTTATTTCTCTTGTTCTGTCCTTTTCTTCTTTCTTTCTTTCTCTGGTTCCTTTCTTCCTTTCTTTTTTCTTTCTGTCCTTCTTTCTGGTTCTTGCCTTTCTGTTGTTTTTCTTTTTTTCAGCTTTCTTTTCTTGCTTTCTTCGTTTTTGTCTTTCTCCCCGCACCCAACAGGTCAAAACCAGCCAAAATACGGACAATAACACAAAAAATACCAAGAAATAATACCCTACCCGCCTGGGAGTTCCAATTCTGCCGTTGTTTAAGCTTCGGGGTTGGGATTTCCGGAAGTCGAGGCTACGGTTGAAGGATTTCAAAAGTTCTCGCTATGGGATTGGCCTCTGCGGGCTCTGTAAACGATCCGGATATGTAAAGTCAGCTTCAGAAAGTTAGGCATATCTGACTCCTATGAGCTACTAGATAGATAGAAGCATGAATGGATCACATCTTAGTGGTCGTAGGCAATGCATGAGGCTTCATGACATTTTTGCGGCCCTGCGTTTGTGCTGTCTGTGGGGGTGGGTGGGGGGTGCAAGTTGCATAGTGCGCAAAAGGACTGTTAGGGCTTACCCTTAAACCCAAAATCATCAATCGCGTGGGTACATCTTTCTGGTCTCAGTTTTGGGGAAAGCTCGAAGCCTTGCTGTATGTGCTGGGACAGGGACAATGTTGGGCTTGGATGCATTTCAGACTAACACACAAGCCTTTGGCCGTAATTCGTAAGTCCACAAACTGTAGCTCCAAATCTAATTAACGTACGCAGAACTCATGTCACTTTTAGTAAGTCACCATGCAAGCAGGGAAGCCAATACGTTTCCCAGAGTTATTGTCAATGGGCTCTCGAGTACATAGTCTTACCATCACGGCTACTATAACGAATACGGAGCCAGGGGCTGTACTTCATCTAGAACTTGAATGCCTAACCCTAAGAAAATTAAACCCAATCAAACCCAACAACCTAGACCCCAAAAACGAGCCAAGACCCCTGAACCCTCAGCTCCAAGCCTAGACCTCACCCAAGGTGTATGCAGTAAAGTTGCATCCCAAACTCAGAGCTCTTAACCCTCAACCCATGAACCCTAACCCCGCGAAGAACTCCAGACTCGCGGCTTCTTGGTAACACTAAACCCCAAACTCTAGCCCCCAAACCCTAGATCCTAAAACCTGCGCCCTAAACCCTAAACCTCAAACCCTGAACCCCAGAGCCTAAACCGTGTGACCCGTGCCTTCTTGGTGGTTTTCCTTTTGCAGATCAAGCCTTTACGTGTGCATAGCTGCTTCATCGGTTTCAAATCGACTTCCCTGGGCGCGGTTTAGGGTTCAGGGTGGGCTTTGCTAACAGTGTTTAAAGGGGTTATAGGGAGTTATGTGGGGACATAAGGATAAGAAGGGGTATGTAGAGCTTAGGACTTGGGGCTTAAGGTTTTTTGGAACAGGTATCTAGCTTGGGTGAAGCTTCAGGAACAGCAGGTGCCGGCCCCAGGGTTTTGGACTTGAGAAAATAAGTCGGGAGCAGAAATCACATTTGGATGCAAAGCATCAGACTGGCAGTGGGACTTGCAGCCACACGCTTTAGGATTAGGGCTCTAACCTTTCACCCTACATCCTGCGACCATGTGGGTGAGGTTGGGGTTTGGGCCATACCCACAGCCCTGCTGGCATCATCAGGGCTGTAGAAATGCAAAACGGTTGGGTGAAGAACGTTTGGTCATTCTCAAATTTGTTGTTGGGCAGGGCCATTGTTCCCTCTTTCAGAGGCATGGAAAGTGAAGCGCAATGCGGCTACCACCGAGAAAGGATTTTACCGAAACCTGAGTAATCACCAATAGAATTCAGTAATTATAATATACCCTAACTCTAATCAATTAGACCCCGACATATGGTCCTGATGAACTCAGCTCTAATTTCTTTTTCCAGGTTGTTCTCCGTTTAATTGCTCCCGAATCCAGCAATCTAGGCCCTGCACCCTAAACCACCGTATCCCCATATTGACCTATGTAACCCCTCTAAAGCAAGCCGTACCTCATGCCGCAACCTGTTCCAATCTGAATTGTGCCCTGTGCTTCCCCTGCTCCTGCCAAAGCTCCTCAAAACTTGCCTGGTTTAGGGTTTGGGGCTTAGGGGTTTCAAGCGTTGAGGGGTTTTGAGGCTTCAGTGTTTAAGTGTTTCAGGGTTTCGGTGTTAAGGGGCTTCGGGTTAAGCCCGAGGCTTCTATCTCGTGCCTTTTTGGGCTTGTACATTTCCTGCAAAGTAGCTAGACGGGAATATCTCGGTATGGACACAAGTCCAGTATCGCTAAAACCGCTTCATACAGCTGCTACGTGAAATGTTGCATGCCATGTCTTTAATATTGTATACTACTGTGGATACACAAAATCCTACATGACCCTAAATACCTTATACCTCAGGAATGATGGTACTATAGAATAGTAGGGTCATGTAGGACTTTTTCTGTCCACAATAGCCTAGTATTGGTAGGAGGAAAACCCTTGGACCTGTAAGAGCCGCCCCGGGTATCGGGCACAGCTCTGGCCATGGTTTGACCAAACCGGAATGCTATCCCCAACATGGGGGAACCCTAAACCCTGAACCAACATGGGAAGGCCTTTTGTAAGGCATCCTGAAGCAGAATTCCCGAGTTGCGTTTACGAAGCTTGACTAAGATTACCTCAATACGCCAACCGGAGAGCCTCTACTTGTTAAGCAACTTCAGCTACAAAGTGACCATACCTGGATATACAAGACATGACAAGGTTTCCATATTTTGGGAAGATTGAATCCTAAACCACTAAACCAATATGGGAAGCCCAGTATAGAATAAAGGATAGACTTGCATATTATGGTAAAGTAACTTAAGCTCCACAACAGCAACCCTGCGTCGGGCCCAGTGAGGATTTAGTCCCCCTCAAGTAAATAGAATATGCGGTACATGGGTATCTTATGATGATGGTTTTTTGGAGGGTTCTATATACTATCTAGTTGGAAAGGTCTATGCTCCCAAATTAAAGCTGAATGGCGCAAAGTCAGAAAAGCGAGTCTTTCTGTGGATATCAAGATCGAACAATTGCCACACAGGTGGCAGCGGCTACAGTCCGTGGTTGCCCAGATCCCACATCTGCTGCTGGCCCTGCTTCAAAAGCCAAGCTGAACGCTGTTTGACCTTTTTGCAGCAATAGCCCAAGGTGGATGTCAAGAGTGCTTCTTGCGTCCAGGGCTTTTGTTCCAGGATGGCTTAAAGTAGAAGACCTCAACCCCATGACGTGCTCTCTTCTGTTCACAGGCAAAGCGTCGCCAGCATGATCCTGAGGACATCCAGAGAGGACAGACCTTGGCAGTGTTTGGGGCTTGTGATGCTTCTGAAGCAGAGTGTGGAGGCTTGGAAAATGTAGGGGTTATGTGAGACGAATGCATATCTTGAAAACAATGCATTTTGAAAGCCTGCTTTTTCTGACTACCTTCATGTTTGTAGTCAGATAACGTGTGATCGTGCCTGCGCTACACCCTAACCGGCAGCAAGAAGAACAAGCTTCAGACAAGTTAAGGGTCTCCGCTTGAGATGATTTCGCCTTCTCGTGGCAAGCACTCAGCTAAGCAGGAACGATATGTCTCTGTTTTTTTGACGTGTATCGAGCTTGACGCTTACACTTGAACTTTAAACCCTTTACGCCGAAAGCCACTCCAGAAGCCCTTCGTGAGGGAAACGTGGTCAAAGAGTGCAAGCTTCTTAGTTCAGGGGCTTCCCTGCTACCCACTATACTCCGCCTTAATTCAAGTTTTTAAGATTTAAAACAACTTCAAAATACTTATAATCAGAGCTTGGGGTCCAACTACCCCCCCTTCCTCCCCCCAAATCTATTTAGGAATAGTCATACGGGTATTTTCTCGAAGTAATCCCCACAGAGCCCCTTAACAGGCCTTCTGTGATCCTCTTACAACCCTTATATATCCCTGACGAGTCCCTAGGGTACTCCTTGTTTTTGGAAAGTCCCCTGAATCCTATTTGGGAACCGGACCCAAGACATGAGCCAGGGACCCCCAAACCTTAGACCCTGAACTCTGAAACTTCATGGTTTGGGGTTTAGGGTTTTGGCTTTGGGTTTAGAGTTTGGGATTTAGGATTCGGGGTTGGGGTTTCACGTAGCCTGTAAACTCAATCGTCAAAAATGCTGAAGCCCGACTTAATTAGAATAGGGCTTCGTGGTATACCGCTAGACTCACAAAGGGGTTGCAGGGAATAATGCCGGCAATTATTTAGGCTTATACACTCGTCAACCCTGAACTCCAATCCCTACATTCTCTCTTCACAGTCCTCAAAGCTTCAGAAACCCCTATGTGAACCTCAAATGTATTTGTTTTAGCAGGGAAGAGTCAGCCCTTCTCAGTGGTCAGTAGCAGGCAAGTAATGGACGGAAGTTTCTGGGAGATTGCATCAAGGCCACGGACCACCAGTGGCCAAAACCTTAAAATGTGAACTTTACACATTCCCATAAAACCTCCCATATAATCCCCATTTAACGCCCTACCGTATGCTAAGCCCTAAGCCTCAACCGAATCTCCCTCCCCATATAACCAAACCTAAAGCGTAAATGTCCCCATCTAACCCCTATTCAAACCGTACCGATTCACCCTAAAGCCTGAACCCATCTATAAGTGCAGCTGCAGTCGTCAGCTCCACTCTTCCTCTGGCTTTTGCACGCAACCACCTTTTTTTCGAGGGCTTTGCCTGTCGAAGGTAGAGGATGCTAGGCTCTAGAATGCATGATGTAGGGTTCCCGCGATTAAACCTCAACCCTATATAAATCCCAAACCATGATTCAGGATCTAAGATTCTGGGATGAGGGTTACAGTTTTAGGCCTTGAAGCTTAGGGGATTGAGGATGTCGGTCTCTTGGATGCAGGGTCTCCACTAACCCTAACCCTAGCCCCTAAACACTTAGGGTTTGGTGCTGTCTTCGCTTTTTTTGCTTTCTCCTCTTTTTGATTTCTTCTTCCTGATGCCCCGCCATTGAAACACGTATGGTAGCTTATGACCTTCTGCTAGAGTTGCATCGGCTTCTTCTGGGGTTCAACATGTTCTGGGCTGCATATGATGCCAGCTGTAGGACCCGCAGTGCTTCCCACAGGGGGGGCATTGCAGGGTAGTGCCCATCCCAAAACTAGATTTTTTTGCCTACACCCAACAAAAATTGAAGCCCAAACCACGTTCAATTTTGGGTCAGGATAAGGCTTTTTGCAGTGTCCTTGTGCTTTACTTGGTGCCAGCCACGTGCCATGAGAACGTGCTGACTGACTGCTTGACGTGTCTATTTGGGATTTTCGGATGCTTGCGGGCCTCTAGGGACCCAGGGACTTGTACGGATTTTACATAGATTGGGTGGGTCCTTCTCATAAACATGGATTGTTTAGAGGAATCCTCATGCAGTATGTGCCAGCATCAGGGTCTGTGCAAGGAGACGGACCGGGTTGTGGAGTTTCAAAAGACCCGCTATAACCGCCGCATACAGTAACCTAGGGGGGAAGTAGCAGGGGAACCCATGACAAATCCAAACATGCTTGGACTCTCATGCGGGGGAATGGGGGATGGGTTGCTGGGACGGGGGCTGAGGGATTTAGGGTTTAAGGCTCCTTGGGGCACTCAGGGTTCAGTCTCCGAAGATGCATATGTGCCAGACGTCTTCCTATCACCTTGCAGCAGTAGCTTCTCGAAAAGAAACCCAGCCTCAAGACCCTAATCCTAGACATGAAATCCAAACTTTGAGTCCCAAGCTCCACCTTTAAACTTAAGCCCCAAAATGCTAAACGCTAAACCCCAAACTCCAAAGCATAAACCCTAATCAGCTCAAACCTCACCCCAAAGAGGCAACCCCATTGCATGCGCCATGAAAGTCAAAGCTTTTCTGTTTTAAGCCGGAGGACTCATATACTTACCTCTGGTAGGTACAAAATGAACGGTAAAGGACTACGGAGACTGCCATGTCACATATCAGTGCGTATAAGAATCCATTCCTTCTTTCTCTGCCAACCAACCTAAAGTAAGTATACCGTCATACCAATCAACCGTCATACGAAAAATTACCGAACGGTACGGGGGAAGCAGTACCAGGACCTTTACAGTCATGAGAACCCAAGCAAACGTGATCGTACTACACTAAACAACAGAAATCGGCCATCATCTCCCCATACATAAATCATCCTTACATAAACCACCCAGGCGCAGAGTTCTAAAACTTAGGTCCTACACTCGCTTACACTTACTGCATGTGAAGCATGCCGCAAACCCAGCATGTTCAACAAAAAACCACCAACAAGAAACCAGCCACCGATTCGCCTGCTGGTGAAGAAAGCTTGACATCAAGGATTAACCCTTCCATCTCCTGTTGCTTAGGGCATGGAAGGTTGGGGCCTCGTGTATTCTAGGATTTAGGACCTTAGGATTTACCTGTGAGAGGATGGAGGACACGCATCTCAGCCTTGCATCTGAAAGGATACTCCAAACCTCAAACTGGGCTTGTGGTCGACACCCACTTTTCTCCAGCCCCAACACTGTAAATTCCAAGCCCTCACCCCAGCGTTTGGGGTTGAGGGTTTCCCGAAATTCGCAGCCTCTTTTTCTGGGGCGAGTAACGGACTATAGTAGATTTGGGGCACACAAAAGGAAGGCTAACATCTGGAAATTCCTGTATCAACACATGCAATTCTTTTGGGAGCAGTGGCAAGTCTAAACCCTAATCCCCAGACCCGAGTCCACAAACCCTGAAGCCTAGAGCGTAAACCCTAAACCCTAAACCCTAAAACCCTAAACCCTCCTCGAATTGCTCTCAGTAGGCGCTAGCAGAAGCGCAGGAGCAAAGATCGCTGTGGACACGGCATAGGCTTACATTCCTGCCTCTCAGCAGTAAGAACTCCCCAGCCCCAGACCCAGCGAAGCCGGCTTGCGATCGCTCTTGTTGTGGGACTATAAAAATTGTCGATTGACTTGAAGAAACTGAGCAGAATTACTATGAGCTGGATCTGTGGTAATCATGCAGTTTTCCTGCATCGATAGCGGAATCTTGGTTCAAATACGTTTTCAACAACCCAGCATGCACTACGTCGTTCTAGTAAAGCAGTGTCACTTGTCGTGAAGTCAAACCCAAACATGCCAAAACGGGAGTATACTCTGGATCTTGAAAACCTTGTATGACCCTAATTAGCTTGACAATTCTGGACTTATGGCACCGTAGTATACTATGTCATGCTGATACTACAGTAGTCGTCATATGGGGGTGGTACAGGGATATGTATAGAGTTTGGGATTTAGGGTTACGGGGCCAGAGTTTAGGGCTCGTATTATTTCCAGAAGCCTCTGCAAAATCTACAGAACCATAGACATCAAGTGGTTTTCGGTCTAGAAAGGGTCCCTAAACCTTATACATCCTTGTAATATCTCTATAATATGCCTATATGACCTACTGTCTAAACTCCTAGTATCCCCCTTAATAACCCTTATAGTAGTCCCCTATATAATCCCCTATATATCCACCCTTGAAGGAGTTTAGACTGTAGCTCATATGACCCCTAGGGATTGGGTTTATGGGGGAACTTATCGGTTGTCCTGCACATTGAAGGCGCCTTTCCTGAGCTCCTCGAAGTTTTGAAGCCGCTCCTGTTCTAACATCGTTAAATTAAAGGGACTCTACTGGGAACCCCAAACCGGGAACCCCAAGAATATAGTAGGTATATAATAGGAATATACCTACAAGGGTCCTTATATTCCATTATATTCCTGCTTCTTGGGGTTCCCTATTTGGGGTTCCCAGTAGAGTCCCTTTATAAATTACCCTTTAGGGGTTATGTAGGGATAATGGAAAAGAAAATGGAAACTACTACTTAGGGTTTAGGGTTTCCCAAAAAGTAGGGATATTGTCCCCAATAGTGGAGAATCAAGTGGAAAAGAAAATGGAAAATGAAGTGGAAAGTAGGGGTTTATAGGGATGATTATCAATATTATAGTGTAGACGCGCGAATGAAATTTAGGGAGTCAGAATTTCCAAATCTAGGCAAGTAATCTAATCCTTCGCTGAAACATAAGGTTAAGGAAAGGCTTGGGGTTTTGTTTCCTCGTGTATCAGGACGAGGCCGGAAACTTCTCAATACAGGTTTCCCTTACGGACCCTATCAATGTACAGGAATGACAAAAGCATTATGAGACTTCTACTTCGGGGTTATGTAGAAGATACTTGGAGGAAAACGCCATAAACCCTAAACCCTAAATTGCGGGGGATCCCCAGTCTGGCTCTTGGCCTCTACTTGGGCCTCCTTGAGTAACTTGGAAATTCTCGTGGGGTTTATGGTTGGCCTTGGCCTCTGATTTTGACACGCTGCCACTTTTCGTGGAACATGCAGGGGGGACCCAAGTAGTAGATCATGCTCTGTAATTTCAGTTGAACATTATAGAACCCTCACAGCTTCATCCTTCCAAAAGGGTTGCTTGCAGTAAGGTTTTGCGAAGGGCTGCAGCAATGCCTTTAAACCCTAAATCCTCAAAGGCGCCCCATGAAGACTGAGAGTGTTCCGTTCTTGACTGGGGGTTGCGTGAGCCCGTATAAGAACTATCACGGAAGTTCGTCAGCCCTACAATTTCCTATGCAATACATAGGCTCTACAAGGCCCTTAAAGGGGTTTCCCTTGAAGTCGACAGAGCCCTGAGCCTTCGAGGTCTTGGGCCATTTTCAGGAACCCGCAATGCCCGCTAGCAATCACCCTGCAATATACTACCGTCAGGGGACACGTGAGAAAAACTCCTTAAACCTTCCCGAAGACCTTCCGATGGGGCCCGTTGTCTCCTCATATGGGGGCCCATTGCGTGGCGTTTCCGTAGGGTTTCTGTTTTTGTTTGGGGGAGGGGCTGCATGGGAGTTTGAAAATTGTTGGGCTACGTTTCTTGGTTTTCTTGAATATGGGCTTGGGAAGTTGCAAGGTACACCTGGAGATGGTACAAGGAACACAATGCAGGGGCCTATTCCATTAAAATAAGTTTTGGGGTATTTGAAAGTATGACTATAGAAGGATTATGAGGTAGTAGTATTGATAGCTAACTAGCTTCTAGCCCCAAACCCTGAAGACCTGAAGGTCCAAAGACTGGGACGCTGACTTTCAGAGCCCCTGAAATTATGAGGAGGTAAGGTACTGGTACTACTTCTGCACAGTTCTTATGCTACCTAGCACAGGATTGCGATGAGAAGGTAATAAAACTGCATGGCTTTTCAAGGTGTCAAGCAAGTACCGCTACAGCTTCCAGGTACTTCAGCAACCTATGCCCAAACCATTTAACGAACTAGTGTCTCCAGTCGAGTTAAGGGTTTCCGAGCAAATACTAAGCTGCTTATGAAAAGAAGCTGCACACCAAATCCCGGATTCCGTCCTTGCCTTCAAACTTCCTCGGGGCCTACACACTAAACCACCCACAACCCCTCGAACCGAAATCCCGAAGCATACGCCCTCAAGCTTAAACCGTAAACCCTAGCTGTACATACTATTTATATCTCTCTGTTTACCTAGACCAGAAACCATGCATAATGATGGCCCAAAACCCGTAAATTCGCCAAGGCTATCCATCCCCAGTGCGTTCAGAACCCTCTAAAACCCCCCTCTACTCCACCCCCCCTCCAATGGGGGGTGCCCATCATCCAACATGAAATTCCAGAACTTCCGCTTAAAGGCTTTGGTGGGCATCTTTTGGGTTTTTTTGCCCCCCCTCTCCTTTCCCCCCCTCCCCCCCTTTCCTCCCCCTTCAGCGGTCTTTTTTCCACGTCTGCGAAACATGAACGTGCCACCGTCTATTTGTTTCCTGTACATAAGCGTGGTCAACGACATGCTGTGACATGGGCTAAGAGTTTAGGGTAAGGATCAGACACCTGATTTGGAAATCCAGAAGCCGAAAATTGCTTCGAGCCTTGCATATTGCACTCCAAACTTTAATCCCTGAATCCTTGATCCACGTTTTTCTTCCCGTGCCTATTTTGACTGCAGCGCACCGACTTTAATTTGTCAGCCTCGGTCCGACTCCCCAGCTTCAAACATCCAGGTGCTTGGTTCCAAGTTGATGCTTGTAGCCCCCTCCCACCCCCCTCCCTTTTCCCGATATCCCGACCTGCCCCTCCTTGACGCGATGTCGTTGCCCGTTTAAAGCTTCCAGCGGGGTCGCCCCATCCCA